TTTATTTTCTGATCCATCACAATAGCAGGAGGGCTGAGAAAAGCACTCCCCCCCCGCCGCTTCTCTTAGATGAAAAACAGTGCAGCTATGTCATTTCTGTGACTCATGACTCACAGACTAGTTTGGGAATAGGCAGCCCTCTACTGTTGATTAAAAGTAAGGTAGCTTTTCTTTTGCAGGGAAAGGAGAAGATTCTCAGTTTAGCTTTGAAACTGAAGCAAGGAGAAAAATGCATAGAAATAGAATAGAAAATAAGGAGAATTGTAATTTATTTAATCAAGTTATACTGAATAGGCACCGAGTCACTCTGAGCGTAGTTGTGTTGAAGTATTCTAAAGTTTAGATTGCGATATTTCTCTCTCCATCTTCCCAGTTAGTTTTCGCTCATCATCCACATAAAAGTGTCTTCTAGTGAGAAGTGGCCATGGTTTCATGTGCAGAATTTGGCACTGACATTAAAGCATTAAGGGATGAAGCGAGAAAGTGAATACAACATGCTAGATTTTCTCTGAGGTCTCTTGCGATGAAGAGGAGAGCATTAATGCCCCACCATCTCTGGTGGGGAAGGGCGTGGTGAACAGGAAGACTGGAATTCAGTATCCTTCCAGCTTCCTTCTAGTGATCTTCCCCGGCATTATTTCCCTGCCCCCGCTTGCTCATTCTGTTTTGGGTATGAAATCAGTCCCCTCAATTAGGTGCACTCACTTGAGGGTTGCAAGGTGCCGGTGAGGAGGAGCTTATCTCCTTGTGTCTTTGGCTCTGCCACACACGGAGTTATGGAGAGGTGGAGCTTTTCTGGAGAAGCGTTCCAGCCTGGCCACAGTTTTATCGGTCCTGACAGGAAGTTGCAGAAGTAGTAGACATACCTAGATTGAAGTGAGAAGATAGTCCTTTCTCGGAGTCTGACTCCCTCCACGGGAGCAGCTTCCTGGGTGGGCCAGTTTTGTCATGTTGTTCCTGGCCTCCGAAGGCCAATCCTGTACCTCATTCCCCGTATTGACGTCTTTCTGCATAAATTGGCTACAGTCTCTAGTGGAATAACATAGTTCGATTTCCTACAACTAAACTCTGACTGAAGCAAAGGGAAGGACAAGAAAGGAACGCGAGGGAAAGGGAAGAGTCGAGTCTCCACTGCCGGTTTGGAAGTACAGTTGGGACATGCGTATTATTGAATGCTTTTTGGTGGTGTCAACTACTGCATTGCACAAGCAGTACAGGATCTAAGAAGTGCATACGCTGGTGTTTGGGACCCACAAAAGCTGGGTAGAAGCAGACTCTGTCTGTCCAGGCCTCATACAGAGTCTTTCACTTCATACACGGTCCAAGTAGTTTCTATGCGTCCACGTGGGACAGAAGATGTGAATTCATATGGTTAATTTTTTAGTATTTTTTATTATTATTTAGAATTGGTATACAAGTTCGAGGTGCATTATGAAGAATTCCCGAATCCAGGTCCTTATTAAGGCATGTGAGGGCCCTACACACTGACAATCTGTGGTGTCCCTCCTCGGGGTACTCACCTGTTTGCATGGGATGTGTGAGTTATATGTCTACACATGTGTGTGCATATATATGTATCCTTGTCATTAAGTGCTGTGAGTCATACCAACTCCTAATGGCCCTGTGTACAACGGAACGAAGGACCGCCCAGCCGCACCCACATTGTGCTCTGTAAGCCCACTGTTGCAACCACGGTGTCAGCCCTTCATCCCTATATGCCTGAGCTATCATGAGATCACTTCTTTCTAAATGCAATGATAATATCAACAATTCAATGCAAAAGTGACATTTGCCATGTTAGGAGGCCGAGATGATCTAGATGATAAAATTCTTGAGGGATTGGGGGTACTCAATTGTTTGCCATACCACATTTTTTATAAAGCAAATATTCCATGCATTCCACAGCAAGGAAAATGAGTCTGTAGACTTGTTTCTACAATCCATGTAAAAATCTGTTGATTTTCCAACAACGAAAAACCAACTTTCACCAGTTTTGCTTTAACCAGCTCAGAGTTCAAATTGATGCTTTTTCTCCCCATAAAAATGCTATCATTATAAATGAACCAATGAAAAGATATAGCATAAAAGAAAATGTAATAATCAGAAAACAAACATCACCAATTGCAATGTTTTAGTTCTGATAACTCAGCTCTAACATATTAAAATTAAAATATTTATTTCTGTTCTTTGTTCTTACATATTTTTCGGTGATTTCTCCACAATTAGCCTTCTGAACAATATCTACCAAATAAGGCCAGTGAATCCACTCTCTTAAATCAGCGATTCTGTTGTGCAGTCTGCGGTCATTAATGTGAGGAATCTGTGTAAAACAATTCAACATCAGGAAATGCGTGTGATAATTTATCTTCTATCACGGAATCACGCATACCTACATGGGTAAATTTGGCTTTCCTGCATCAGTGAATTTAGTTCTCAAGTAAGACTGGATTCTGTGTCCTTCTGTATAAAGGTTTGTGTTTAAGTCATTGGGATGAACTTGTCCTAATTTCTTGGATGCCTTTATGCATTCTTCATCAGGTACATCCACGTTGTTTAAGGAGGGAACTCTCTTCGAAAGAACTTCGTACTTTTTTGCCTTTCTTTTTGTGCAAGATTCACGTGTCCACGAGGATGCAGCTTGTGGTGAGGTGAGATTGGTTTCTGGCATCAATACTTTCATGGCGCCTTTCTGTCATTTCCTTGTTTCTTCCCAATGCTTCGGAGCTCATTCACTAGTTGATAGTCAGGTACTACTGGGCTTCACGTGTTTCAGAGTCTTCTCTTAAATTATGTAAATACACTGTTAATGGCTGGTAGAGCTCTGTGCTTGTCTTTACGTTTACTTCTGAATTCTGGAGACCCTGGCTTGTCCAGTGAAAGTACTGCGCTGTGCTGTTCCACAGAAGGCACATAAGTAGATGCTCTGATGTTTGCATTTTGTTGGTGATGTTTTCAGCTTTTCTGTTGGCATTTTCATTTTTTGTGTGTCTGATATTTAGTGATATTTTCTAAGGCATCTGGAGCCTGTGTTATTGATCCATGATTGCACTCTTTCCTACATTGCTACCACAGGTGTTAGAAAGACATTTTAATACATGAGCCTTGCCTCATATGTTATAAGAATTGCCCATTGATGAGCAGAGGCAGCAAAAACTATGTAGAATAACTGAAGAGTGCGGGGGGGGGGGGTGTCTTCTGGACAACAGTGTCTTATAATATTAAGTGAATGTGGAACACATGCTTTGAAAGTGATATTCATTATATTCCAAAATTTTCTGTTGCATGACTATAATGCCCCGACATATTGACGGCATTTTATAGGAGTGGCTTCTGCACTTACATAACTAAATCTTAAAAGCTGCACATAAATAGTAAAGTATTTGCTTCGCAGTTTCCTCACTAGTAAAGCTGTTTAAGCTGGTCAGTGTGATCAATCATGCAACCGTGTTTTCATCTGTTGGGGATGCAGACTTACTTGGTGATCTGTTTGAGAAGGATCAGGAGTGGATTCTACAAATCTACAACTTAAATACTGATCTTTTTTTCGCTGAAAATTAATAAACTTCCTCACATATTAAATTGAGTATTTCTTCACATTGTTTTAGACGTACACCATGGGTTCCTCTTTCCATTGTTATCATATTTGAGAGATGATCTGCTATAAATGTATCAAACTGAGCAATAATTTCAAATAAACTTCTAAAACTTCCATTTTGTGGGAATCCAAATATTTAATTTCTTCCTTTAGAACCCATTCAGTGATTGTTACAATGACAACCATAATGTGTTACAAGATGGTTTTCTTTTACTGATGTTCTGTAGTAATTTGTGTGTCTTGTTCATGAGTTAAGCCAAAACATGCCTTTGGTTTAAAGATGTGAATTATAAGCCATTTTCATGTTTATCACTCATATTTGCATTGTGCCAGTTGCTAAATCCACTGGTAGCAAATTGAGAATTAAATTATTTAGAACTGAATATTATTCAAACAAAAGAGTATACAGAACCAACTGGT